TATGCCTGTCACTGACTTACTGCTTTATCTTAACATCAGCTTTAAAATCTCCTGTTTTCTATGTGAAATACAGTCTTAGAAGGTAAAACATGCACTTACATAGCTAGGGTGACTTGTGAATTACTGGCATGAACTAGATGCTGCAGAAGGGAAAAGACAATGCAGATACACAGAGTACATGCAAGAAACAGAGAGCACGGCACAAAGAGAATAAGAAACTGAAGCATTCCATCTTAACAGATGAATAATAAAATAACAGAATCATAGAATGGCTTAGATTGAAGGACACCTTAAAGATCATCCAGTTCCAACTCCCCTGCCATTGCCCAGAGCCCTATCCATGGCCTTGAATGCCTCTAGAGATGAGGATCACAAGCTCTCTGGCAGCCCATTCCTGCATCTCACCACCCCCTGAGTAAAAATGTTTTACCTGATATCTAACCTAAATCTCCCCTCTTTTAGTTTAAAGCCATTTCCCCTTGTCTTATCACCATCAGACCGTGTAAAAAGTTGGTCCTCCTCCTGCTTATAAGCTCCCTTCAAGTACTGGAAGACCACTGGAAGATCTCCCTGGAGCCTTCTCTTCTCCAAGATAAGCCCAGCTCCCTCAACTTTTCCTCATAGAGGTGCTCCAGCCCTGTTATCATCTTCATGGCCCTGAAATTTGAATGGGAAAAAAAAACAACAACAAAAACAGTAAGTGATGATGGTTTCTATTACATTATTAAACATGCTATTTACAGCATGTTTAATTTGTAATGCTGGAACTGGGTTGAAAGACTAAGTCATCATTCTTGGGAGACACATGATTTTAGTAAATAGCAATAACTGCACTTGGAACAATAAGATAGCATGCACAACTTTGCCTAAGAGCTGCAGGGAACAGTAATAGTTTAAAGATTTAAGAGAGTTCATCTGGCCAAGCAGCTAAGCTGCTTCTCTGTGACTAATACATGGGAAGAGGTCCCTCTGGCATGCGATCCATTTCATCTTCTGTGCTTTCTTCAGGATGGAATGTACCATCTTTTCACTTTCTGTTGGTTCCAGAAGCAACCTGGGGAGGTAGGTTACATTTCCAACCAAGATGAGACAAGCCGTAGAATATTGGGTAAGGTGAAACACATTCTAGGAATCTCAGGCACTTGGAGGGTGAAATTGAGGAGCACCATTGCTGAAAGCAATTACACAACCCACACCTGCTCTCTGTTCATTTCTGCTTGTGCATGGCTCTCACAGGTGGGCTGGTGCACATAGTCCCGGGGGACCAGCCACTGAAAAGACTGGGGAAAAGTCTCCAGGTTAAAAATACAACTTTTTCTTTCTATTTTTTTTTTCTCACCATTATCTGCTCCCACCTCTTGGTTGCCGTGGTTACACAAACACTTATGCTGTCACCTTTATTACTGCCATGTGAGGATGAGTTAGGGAGAAGCAAGAAGCCTCCTGAAGAGGCAGCAGCAGCAGCAGCCAGGTCTTGCCCCCACTGTGCAGGAGGCAGCCCCAGCAGCAGTGCTAAGCCAGCACCCCACTGCTGGCCAGACCACGGCTCAGATGAACTGAGAGGCAAATATCTCAGTTTGCTTTTTAAAGAGTCAAAAAAGGAAAAGCGTATGTTACTGACAAGGCAGTTGGGGTTGCTGCCTCCACCTATGCTGTTTTTTCCTTCTTCTGGTCCTATGGGAGGGCATAGAGTCCTAAGTGTATTTCCAAGATCAGAAACCAGCCAGCCATGACAGTGCTAATAAAACAAGCATGGGCCACAACAAGCAGAAGATGGAACTCATGTTATTATTTTAATGATCATCTAGTCATCAGGACTAGGCTAATTTCCTCATACCGCCAAGCTCCACACCACAAATAGTTGCCTTTATTTTGACTTTAGCCAACTGAACTGTGATTTCTCTTCAGATTTCAGGTTAGTTTGAAGTTAGAAACTCTTTTATCTTGACTTCTTTGAGATGGAACAACTCAGATCTGAGCAAAAATGTGGGTATTAGATTTTGAAGTCCTATTCAAGGCAAATCCAAAAGGTAAGAGAAATCTTCCAAGATGAATTAATGCCAACTAACCCAGTGCTTATCCTTCTGCACTCAAATACACTATAAGTTTCAGTTGCCATTTTTTTCTCCAAAGAGATTTTTTTATAATTTCACAATTTTTACTACTTATTTTCTCAACACTTTCACGTTATGCCTTCAGATCTCTGTGAACTGATTTATGTCCTTTTTTTTTCTGAAAATGTACTCCTACTTATGGCTAGCAAATAACACTTGCTCACTTCTTGAGCATCTCCTCATAGATTTTTTTTCCTTCCCTGCATGCCTTTTCCACCAGATTGAAATGAACATTTTTTGTTCTCAAGTGAAATAGCAGTTTGGAATTTAGTGTCCAAAAAAAACCACATCATATTGTCAAATGTGTTAAAAATGTCACCGAGAAATTTGACTGCAAGTTTGTAATCCATACACAAGCATTCAGCCACCCACTTTCAATGCATTAAATGCTTCTGCTAGGTTGATTACATCTCATTTTTCTTAAAGTAAACAGGGCTCCATCACTAAATTTATTAGTAGAACAGGCAGGAACAGGAGATTATTTCAAAGTTGAAGTACCAGTTATTTGCACCAGATATACTGTGGGAATTTAAATTAGCACACTAAGACATTACACATATCAGGAAACAAATGGAACTGGACATTGTGGCTTCCTAGTTTTGTAGGTGTAAATGAATAGCTGAAGATTAAGCAACAGAATGCAAAAGGCCATTAAAATTCTAATCAAGGGCACATGACAATAAACCCAAAATCAGTACCCAGTCTGAACATTAGTGGCCCATTCTCCCACAGTAAGTCAAGTTCTCTTACAATAAAAATTTGACAGATAGCCATAGATTTGGGGAAGTTCCATACGGCAAAGTCATCTAAGAATAATAAGGCAGTAAAACTAAATACAGGGAGTATCTATGGCTGTCGTGGGAATTAAAATTAAGATAAGCAAAGTCAAGGCTGCCCAGAGGTTATAGTGAGTAGGAGACTCCTTTGTTAAGTTTAAAGGCACTGAGGACCTCACATCTCAGATGTTCAAAGCAAGAAAATAAATAAGCAATGTATTTTTTTATAGGAAACTCTTAAAGAATTGTTGGGTGCAAGATGCTGTTTCGTGAAGAACTGAAGGTCAGATTAATTTGGGAAGAAACAAAGTATTCATAGTGAGGGACACACCAGAGTCCAACACTCATCAATTTTAAAATATGGGAAACTCTCACACAGACCTATGCATGGAATTAAGCAAATGTGTAGAGAAGCAGAAAAACCATAGCATAGTTTCCAAATGTGATACAGTAGGTCTTGAAATTGCAGACTGAAAGATCAGGTAAATACATTAGTATATCCTACATATGTTTCTATAAGTACTACATGACACAGAATTATAATATAAAAACAGCACAATAAAACATTTTTAGAGACAGAAAATGCTCTGATAAGACTTGCAAGATTGGGAAGTTCACCCATGAGCATATACGGACTGGCAAAGAAAGCTGAAAAAAAGACTTACTATCTCCATGGTATCAGGGAACTGATTCTGATACAACTTCTCATAATTGCAGGAGGAAAAAAACTAACTTTGCTACCATGGAAACGTAACGGTGCAACATAACTGGTTATTACCTGTCTCCCTTAACAAGACTGGTCCCTAACATGTTAAGGCCTTCAGTAACATAGGTAATTTCTTTTCCACCTGAGACATAAATGTGTTACAAGAGAAACAGGGTGAAGCTATTCAATGAGCTCACCAAGCATGGAGAGAACAGCTCAGGAACGAGAGGTATTTCTGGGAGAAGTGGGGGTTGCAGAGTGGAGGAAGGGAATAAAAGAAAGATCAAGGAAGATACCACAATACCAGAAGAAATCAGGGAAAGGGAGTTTGGGTTGATTAGTGAGACAGCAAACAAGGCCTTGACACTGAGTGGCTGGATCCTGGTCCTGCTAATCAGAACCTTTTAAATAAACAGAGGAGCAAAGATGAGATGGATGGTACCTCGCCCTAGAGCAGGTGCAGTCTCAGAGAAAGCGTATCTTGTGGAATTTGTGTGTTCTCATCATTCCTTATTTTTCCTTTGTTCTTCACTGGAAAATTCCACTCTTTGGTTGCATAAAATAACTAACAGCATTTGCACCTTCCTCACTGTTCAGTTCTGCAACAAAAGTCATCTTCTTTTCTGTTATTGCAAGCTTTATTCTGTCTGCCAGTCACGTGTCCTGTTAGTAAAATTCTTTAAGATGTGTAGTTCAATGTCCTCATGATATACTCTCTAGACCCGTCATAGAACACATACAACACAGAGCCAGCAAGATCCTCACGGCTGTCACTGGAGAGGTGTCTCTCAGGATGCTTCACTCAAGCTTTTACATCCCAGCCCTGTGGCCGCTGTTCTCAGAGAAGCTGTGCAGCACTCAGGGTACGCCTGTAATCCCTGCAGGTTTACTTCAACTGAGTGAGGTTTCTGCATCGTCCCTGAAGGCAGCCTTCAGCCTCCTGAGGGCACACAGCCTTGTCACCATACTGCTGCTGACATAATCATTCAGTGGTGTGTTTTTTTCCCCTCACGGTTGGGGATGGCCTCTTCTCTCAGGTAACAGTGATAGGTAGGACAAGAGACAACAGCCTTAAGTTGCACCAAGGGAGGTTCAGGTTGAATATCAGGAAAAACTCAGAGCGGTGAGGCATTGGCGCAGGCTGCCTTGGGAGGCCCAGCTCGGGAGAGAAGCATCCTTGTTCCTAGAGCTGCGGTCTGGCTGGCTGCCCGGCCCTCGTCGCCACGGTAACTGCGCACATCTCAGGCCAGATTCGCGCAACGGCTCCTTTAAGGAGGAGCAGTTCGCCATTTTAGGTTCCCCCGCCCCCTCCTGCCACGTGACGCTGGCGGCCGCCATCTTAGGTTCTCCGCGCCGGCGCCTTGCGTTGCCCGGGTCACGTGGGATTGGGGCCGGCGGAGCTGAGGGGAGGGGAGCGGAGCCGCGCGGCCGGAGGCTGAGGGGCGGTGGCAGCGACACGATGGGGCAGTGCGGGATCACCTCCTCCAAAACCGTGCTGGTCTTCCTCAACCTCATCTTCTGGGTGAGTCCGGTGGGGTCGGAGAAGATGGGCGCATCTCAGAGGTGTGGAGGGCTGGGGCCGAGCGCGGTGCGGGGCCCGGCGCTGAGGGCGGTGCGGGCCGCGCTGCCTCGCTGCTGTCCGGCCTTACGGCCGCCTGGGACCGCCGCGCTGTCCCGTGTCTGTTTCACCGTGTCCCATTTCCCTTTAAACTCGTTAAAAGCGTTTGTGTTTCCTTGGGAAGCCGCGCTGTGTGCAATCTTCTCATTTCCAAGCCGCCCTCCTCCGGAGTTGGGAGGTGGATGAAACTGCATCTGTTGTCTCAGCGCCGGGCAGCATTTAATGAGCATCAGAGATCCTGCCGTAGGGGCTCTTGTGTAACGTGATACAGCTGGAGCTGCGGTATTGAGGTTTGCAGATTTTTGCCGCTTTAGTTTCTGTAGAGCTGCTGCAGCCACCTAGTTTTCGGCCTTTAAAGTCTGCCCCGAGCACTTAGTGGTAAGTATGTGACACTGATTTCTTCCACACGTTTAACGCAGAACTATTCGTACGTAGAACTTAATGGTGTGACAGCAAGTGCTGTGAGTCACTTTTTCTAGTCAGTGCAGTTTCACAGCAGTATTTATGCTTTGCTTGAACCTGCCACAGCTGTGCTTACCCAGCCTGGGGAGCAGCAGGCTGCTGGAAAAAAAACCTTGCTGAAGGTGGGTGTTCAGTTGTCTTTGCCCATTGCCAGGTGTAGAGCAATGCATGCAGTCATGATGTGAATCTTAAGAATTCCTTTTTTTTTGGGGGGGGGGTTGGGGAGGGGGGGAGGGGGTTGGGGGGGGTTAATTGCTCTGTTTCTCATTTTCTACTCCTGGCTCCAGGAAGGGAAGATTTCACTGCTATTCAAAGCATTGAGTAGGGAATAGTGGGTAAGGACGTACTAGGAGATAAAAGTGTAACTATATTTAGCTGAATAATGATTAGTACCATATGAAATGTAACAAGTGTTAGAGGGTAACTGTGTTTCTCTAGATTTTTTACAAAGGAATGTGTCTCTTGGGTGCTTAAGCATGAGTTATGGTCAGGCAAAATTCACGTCTGTGCAGTCTCACTGGCATTTGTATATACAGCTGTTCAGAGAGAGAAGTTGATGTGAGGCATATTTAAAAGATCTGTGTTAGGAGTAGTCTCCATTGCTTATCTTGGAAGTATCATCACAGAATGGGTTGGAAGGGACCTCAAGAATCATGAAGCTCCAACCCCCTGTCACAGACATGGCCACCAACCTCCCCATTTGGTACTAGACCAGGTTGCTCAGGGCCCCATCCAACCTGGCCTTGAGCACCTCTAGGGACGCGGCTGGAAGCTCCTTTGTAGGGAGTGGTTTTTTGTTACATGCAAGTGATACTGAAAGAGCATTGTGAGAGCTGCCAAATAGTGCTTAGTTTTTCACTGGATGTGAAGTTGCTGTGAGTTGCATCTTGAAGGAGTGCTTTATGCTCCTTAGTTGCTGATATAAATTAGGTTGTGTTTTTAACAGATGCAAGTTCTGTGAGTTTTCTCTTCCAACCCCAAAGTTCAGTTTTATATATTTGGAAGGTGTTGTTTGCTACTTGCTGCATTTAGTAATTTAATTGCAAGTGTGTTTATTCAAAAAAAAAAAACAACAAAAAACAACACACCTGTCAGTGTTAAGCACAGAAGCTATTTGGTGTAATACTTAATAGTGTTTTAGGGTTTTTAATGGCACTGTTCTGTTCTTAAGACAAATTTGACTCAGATGATGTGTAGACAGTTTGTGTTTAGGTACCAAGTACTCTGTGTCAAATCTCCAGTCAAAGAAGTCAACTTTTGCTGACAGCTTTTTGACAGGGAGGCAGCTTCAGTGGCCATACTGCTGATAAGTTCTACGTGGAATGATAAATGCAGGTTTATCCAAAACTGAAAGCCTCAAAACCTGTGTCTTGGCTCTTTAGCCAACCTGTAGCCTAAAGGTAGGAAAGAATGAATGTTACTTTGTACAAAATTTCAGCAAAAGTTGTGCATCTCAGTTTTAAACAGCAAAAGAGAAGGAAGCATTTGAGTTCTTGATTTAGCATGTTTCATTTGGTGACTGAGCTGAACGTGTATAACATTTAGTGCCTATCTAGTTGGCAGTATAATTGCTTCTGTGCCATTACAGAAGTGTTCTGATTGTCATTCATATGTCATTCCAGTATTGGTAATCAGATCATCTAGATTTACACTGAGGCTTTTGACAGCCAACTGCCTATAATTTGTCAAGTAACTGTGAAATGTCCTTGAATTGCTTTTTTTAAACTTAGTATGTCATTTCAGAGTATCATATATAAATTTTGTGATCAACAGGATTGTCATAATCTTTATGGTATGCATTTATATTACAGAATTAACTTGAATTCTGTATTTAAACTTGAGATTAGTTTGCTGCAGCCATTGAAAGCTCTGACAATTAGCCGAGTGAATTGTTTTTGAAGTGTTTAGACAGTGCTCTCAGGAATATGGTTGGTTTTTTTTTTCGGTTGATCTTACATGAAGCCAAGGATTGGCCTCAGCAGTGCTGGTGGATCTCTTCCAATGTAGGACTTTCTATTATTATAACTTTTTTTTCTCCCTAACCACAGTTCTGATATTTGTGGGAGGTGTGAATGTTCAGAACACTTTTTTTTTTATAGTTCAGTCTTTTGGACGTGAGATGTTCAGAAAATTACTACTGCTACTGCCTGGAGGAAAAAGAACAGCTTTATTAGTTCTGAATGTAATTTGTTAAAAATAATTGATATTTTGAATTCCTGTCTACTAAACATTTTGGTTCTTACTTTCTCCTTTGGTACCATTTTCTATCAATCGCTTGGTTTGCTGGGAAAATGTTTAGTATCTATCAGCTGTTCTTTTGGTACTGTGAACCTGACGATGTCTTCATCAGAAAAGTTTAAGCCTTTAAGTACTGAGTCACTCCAAAAGTAATGTCTCATATTTCTTTCCATAGAAACTAGAACAGATAGAAAGAACACCTTAACACTATTGGATAGAGTGGATTCTCAGTTGCAAGTTATGGTACAATAAAAAGACAAGAAAGAAGAGAAGGCTGGGGAGGAGGAAGCACTGTGGGGCTGTACCTCTAACCAACACATAGGTCTCTTAGATCAGCATGACAGTGATATCAAAAAACACCCCCATTTTCATTAAGTACTTAATAACAGAAGAGGAACTAAGGATGCTTGCTAATAAATAAAGAGCACTGTCTGGTTTGTTCTGCTGAAGTGGGCAGTTTCACTGATGGCACTTCTAATCACATGAAGCCACCATCCTGTTCCTGTTCAGTATGACACTGTTGCGGTGCTCTGAGATGTTTACCTCAGACTTCTGTATATGTTGCAAGAGTTCACATGTTCTGTTTCTGCAATTTCTTTTAATTCACAGGCGTGTTCATATATGAGTGTTTGGTTATCACTAAGCTCTAGGGGAAAAACAACCAGCAAGAAAAAGGTTTTATTATTTAATATAGGTGTTATTTAATATTGTTAACAGATCCTTCAGTGGACGAGACTGCTTAAGTAAAATTAATACAGAGCGTGCATGTTGGCAATGGCAAGTTCCTTTTGCGGCTGCAAATGTGTGAAGAAGCAAGCTAGTGTAAATGGTATTGCCATAGGCTTTTTGCCAAGAGAAGCTGTCCCTGTTTGTGGCAGCAGACATTAAGAGTGGTGTCTTTGCTTATGCTCACACAGGCTTTCTTAATTAATCAGGAGTAAGATGCTCTTATTTTTCTGTATCGGTCTCAAGTAGGATGTCATCTCTAATAGTTCTGTGGTAGCTCCCTATTTGTCTTTGCCTTATGAAAAAGGAAGGTCAGGCATGCTATCTGATAGCTGTACCTGCTCATTCATTTATGGCTGCTGATGTAGCCCAAGCTCCACCCAGTTTGCAGTTTGTGATTCTAAGAATTCATCTCCTGGAAAGTCTGATGTTAAGTTTTATTTCACTTCATTACACTCAAGAAATAAAACAATAATGCTTCTACTAAGTGCATTTTTCCAAAATACCTTTGAATTATCTCCCCCTCCCCCCCAGTGGAATAGGGGCAAGGATCAAAGTAGAACTTGTGGGTTGAGATTAAACTAATCACAGAGATAGAGAAAAGGAACAGGGTAATAGCTAGAACAAGTGATGCACAGGCAGTTGATCACCACCTCTGACCTATGCCCAGCTGGCCTCCTGAGCCATGGAAGAAAGTGAGATGAACTCCTCCACCCTTCAGACTCCTTCTGCATGATGTGACATGGTACAGAACATCCCTGTGGCCAGTTTGAGTCAGCTGTCCGAATTCTGTGCCCTCCCAGCTCCTTGGGCCCTTTGCTGCAAATGGCCTTGGCTCTGTGTAGCACTGCTTAGCAGCAACTATCAACACCACTGTGTTACCAGCATTGTTTTTCTCCTAGAACCAAAACGTAGCATCGTAACAGATGGTCTGAAGAAAGCAATTCCATCCCAGCTGAAAGTAAGGCACTAAGTTAAAGCTTCATCAGGTGACTTGTACAGCTTAGTTGAAAGCTATTTGAAGAAATGAAATAAATGTAAAAATGCAGAGAAATGCTTTTGGGCTTGTTCTTTAGGAGATAGTGTAGATAGCTAAAATGTTCAAGGATGCCTATAGTTGGAGTCTGTGTTCATAAAGAATACGTATGCTTTGACAGCCTGTAGTGCTAAAACAGTACCTGATACCCTATGCTTCCTTTGAGGTTTTTTCTTTCCCTGTACGTCTGCTCCTTGAGAAAGGGAATAAAGTTTGCTTTTGCTCCTGTGATGCTTTCTACTTGGTATTCGCAAGCCAACTCTTTTAACTGCTCTTTAAATTACTTAACTGTCTAGAAATCATTAATTTTACTATTTGACCAAACTAGTATAAAATAACCCTAGTAGCGGTTGTTGAATCGCCAGGCTTCATTTCAATGTAGCAAGAAGGCTTTTTACAATCCTGTGCTTACTTTATAACTTATGCATGCTCATCACAGTAC